TTTTTTTTTTTTTTTTTTTTTTTTTTTTTTTTTTTTTTTTTTTGGTTGTGTGTTGTGCAAAAAAAATAATAATAATGAAAAAAAAAGATGAAAAATAAAGTGAAAGAAAAATTAAAAAAAAAAAGGAAGAAAGAATAAAAATATATTTGAAAGAGATTAAAAGTGGTTTGGAGAAAATAAATAAAAAATAACGAAGTGGGAATCAAACGGAGGAGAGACAAGCCCACAAATTTTTTTTTTTTTTGTTTTGTTTTGTTTTGTTTTTTTTTTAATAATAATAATAATAATATATATGTATAGATAGAAAAGAAAAGAAAAGAGAAAAAAAGAAAAGAAATTGAATTCAATTTATATATATGTATAGGTTTACATATTAAAATATAGATAGAATATATTATGATGAGGTTTTGGGTGGGAAAAATGATAAATTATTTTAACAGAGAGTGGGTGGTTCATGTGAGTAGTCTCGTGGGTGATAAGAAAAAGAGGGAGTGTGTGATATATAAAAAAAAAGAAAAGAAAAGAAAAGAAAGTGGAAAGAGAGTGTGAACATATTGATGATGAAAAGTGGGAACCAACCCATGTGGGTGGAGGTGGTGTGTAAAGCGTGAATTGAAAGATGAAATAAAATAATAAAAAGAAAGGTGGGTGGTGTGGGTCAGCAGCACACATCATGTTCTTTGCATCCCACATGTGCTGGGGCAGCTCTGGGACTGAGTTCTGAGGCTCCATAGCCCATTGTTCCTGGAAAAAATAAAATAAAATTATTAGCTATGTAGATAAAACCAATACTAGTTAAACCATATATGCATAAGGCATTCGGCACCAACCATGAAAAGAAGCAAGACCATATGGTGAAACAGCAGCACAATCATCATTCACTTCAGGTGTTGATGCAGAAGCCAGGCTGATGTTTTTCTGTTCTGCATATTCATTCGACTCAACAGCACAATGGACCATGTCATTGAAATTATTACTGAAGGACCAATGCATTGCATCAGCCTCCTCAGGTATGATGTTAGCTTCATTTGATGCCAAACAACTAATGTCACCCTTGAAGGCATCTTCCTCCACTGCATCTTCATTGCCAAGTAATTGCTCTTTCGAAAGTATTTGAGAACTTTTTAACAGTTTCAAGTAGTCTGGAACAGTGCATCCGAACCAGTGCCGATCTGAAGCCAAGCTTGGTTCTGGAAGTTTACAGGGCTAGAGTTGGGTTCTGAAAGAGAGAGTGTGTGTTTGGTGTAGGTGACCAAGATGGATGATGGTGATGATGCTCTGATCTTGAAGGTGACCAAGATGGCAGCGGAGTCAAGGTATGTGTAGAGAATTTTAGCGGACTAGGTTGAGATCCGGCGGGCAGCCAAGGCGAAGTTGCCGCCCGCCGGTGAAGCAAAAAATATTAGGTTCTAAACCTGCTCTGATACCATGTAGAAATTTAATGTATAAAGAGAAATAGAGAATTGTATTATTGATTGATGTATGTTGTAAATTACAAATGGTGAAGGGCTCCTTATATAGGAGATGTAGTGGAGTAGGTAGTAGTAGGTGGTAGTGGTAGGTGTGTAGTAGGTGGTAGTAGGTGATGGTAGGTTTTAACAGAAATCATTCCAATTTCCGAATATCACCGCTACTTTGAATTTACTCTTCCTTGAGCGTCTCATATTTCGCATCAGAAAGGATCTGATATGCATACGTGTGTTTTTGAGTAGTATCGGTATCTTATATGGGTACAACTGCCCTTGTAGAAGTACCCGTGCTTCATAGATTCTTCCCCATCCTCTCTCTCTCTCTCTCTCTCTCCTGTGACTAATTCTTCTCTATTTTTGGTTTTTCAGGGATTATCTGTCACCAACCCTGATGCATCTGCAATTGAGGATAGCAATGCTTTGGCTTTGGCCATCATTCCATCCGGTAATCCAGCTGTACTACTGCACATATTTCTCTTGCATATTTTTGTTTTGTAAGAAAGGTGGTTATCTGTTTTTATGTGCAGATACAGCTTCATCACTCGACTCTGGTGCTGTGTTAGCAAAAGATTTTGATCCTACCGGCTGGGAACTTGCCTTGGTCACCACACCTAGCAGCAACATGTCTTCTGTTAATGAGAGACAACTGGTAGGCCCTCGTGCAAATTTTTTTTTATTTTCCCCTTTATTTTATTCTCATTGCTTTCTAGCCATTAGCTAAAGTATATTACTACTTCTAGTTTCTCTAAAAGGATGATGAACTAAGCATCTGTTCTTCCTGTGATTTAGTATATGTGTTGTGATTACATTGCCCAAACACTGATATGAGCAAAATAATTAACAATTGTAAAGAAATAGGATAGCAGGAGAATATGTTTGAACCTATGTTACCAAAAAATGCTAATACCCTAGCAAATTACGTATTGGTATGCACGTTCCAAAACATGGTACATTTTCGTTCCAAAACGATAAATTTAGTGATCCGAAGCGATCCCCAAATTTTTTTCCAACATATTTCCTTAAATGTTAACTTAGGAGGAAACAAATCAAATATATGAACTAAAATCCAAGGTGAGTTAAGTTTTGACAAAACAAGAATTAAAAATGAGTCATAATTTTTTTAGAAATGATTTGCTACATGAAAGAAAAGAAAAAAATATATTGGATACTTAATTATTAAAAGAAAATTACTTTAGAAGTATCTTAAATTGTTAAGTGTAATATATATGAGTCTACTTCTATCGTACCACATTTTAGAACATGTGGTGTACCACGTTCCCGTTCCATGTATCGAAACGATCCACGTTCTAAGTAACATAGGTTTGAACAATGTCATGGTGGAATCAATAGTTTCTTCAACATATCTACTGCATGCACACTCAGTTAGTTTCACGAGTCGGGTCGGACCGGGTTTGGCGTACACCCTCACTCGAACTGATTACGTCAGGTTCAGCATATGCCCATCCGAGTTTGACCGATGCATTGTTTGAAATCGAACTGCTCACACTATTCGGATTCACGGCCGGTGGCAGATGGGTCTTGTTTTCTCAATTTGGGCTTCACACATTAAACAAGAAGAAGAAGAAAGGAGAAGAAGAAAATTACATGTGTCAAAGATCAGATCCAAACTCATCCCAAAATATACAACAAAAAAAACTAAAATCATACACAAAAAAAACATAAAAAAATCCAAACTTAACCCCTTCCCAAATAAAATAAAAAAATTACAGACTTATCTCTCGATCTAGACTTCCAATCTCTTTGACTTGATACTTGTCGGATGTTGCAAATCTATATCCAGTAGGTGCAACACCAAACAAACCCATCATCTACGATCACCTTCATCATCTGTGATTCTAACGTGCTAGGATTTCGGAAGGGAGTAAGACTAGAAGAGGGATTTGGAGGAGATCAAAGGGGGGTATGGGAAGAGTATTATCAGAGTGGGAAATAGTGCAAGAGACGATTGAGAGTCTCTAGTAGATGAGAGTGAGAGTGAGAGATGTTTTTACCAACTAAACTTCATCAGCGAAGTATTGAAAGAGATGTGAAAAATGAAAAGTTAAAATTTGTAATGATGAATTCCAGCTAAAGGGTTGAATAAGTTAAATGTATAAATATGATGTCTAGTTGAAAAGTTGAACAGGTTGTAGTAATGATGCCTATTCCCTAGGTTATCTTGGTAGATGAAATAAAACTAAATAAATACCTTATGTTGGTAATATTTTAATATCTATCTCCAACTAGTAAAGAGCAAACACGTGGATAGAAGCATCGTTTTAAAACATCGGTCGGGTCGGGTTAACCGATTTTTTATTCTTTAAATCCGACACTTGACTGCCAAAATGAAAATTTTCGGGTCAGGTCGGGCCGGACAATTAAATTGGTAGGCAATAACAAACTTCATTATTGCCTGAAATAATTGCATTGTACGCAGGTCCAACCTGAGTTAGTAAGATATTCTCTGAATTTTACTGCTATTCAACAGCTGTTGATGTTTGAATTCTGAAAGAAACTGGGAGGCTTTATAGAGTTTTTAGGCTGTGTTTGGTTATATTTTCTAATCATAATTCCACCCTTCCGTTTGCATGCACTGTTTGGATGGAGTTTTGAAAATGTGGTTCCCTCACACATTTCAAAAACATATTTTTCTTTCACGTTTGGCAGATTCGTACATACTTTCTCTCTTTTGTCTTTTTCATTCTGAAAAGTAGAGGAGTTTTGAATTTTGGATCTACTTGGTCATCCTCCGTTCGGCCGGCTGGTTGACCGGAACAGTGTAATTTCTTTTTTTTGCAATCGCCAATCGCCACCTATTATTTGGGGGGAAAAAAAAAAATATTTGTTTTTGATATTTTTTAAATGTAGAAATTATTTTTTTAGACCAAAATGACAAATTATTTTTTTGAATTGAATTTTAGAAAGAGTTTGGTTGTGAGTTCTGAATAGAATTTTCAATAGAGTTTTGAATTGTGTGTTTGGTTATGAGTTATAAGTTTTTGAATTAAGTTTTGAAAATTCTTTTCAAAACTCATAACCAAACAACTTTTCTCATTTCATATGTCTCATCAAAAATTTAAAACTCTTTTCAAAACTCATAACTAAACAACTTTTCTCTTTTCAAATCATAATTCCAAAACTCACAAACTCAAAATATAACTCTATTTTCAAATCATAATTCTAAAATTCTACCAAACACTACCTTAATTTTTCTTTTTCCCTCTGGCTCTGTCCCCTGGATTAAAAGAAGGGTAGCGGTGCTGAAGTTGCCAATCGATATTCTATCAAGTGTTTGATAATGCATGATTACATAGTGCTTAAGTTCTAAATATCTACTTAAAATGGGTTTGAATTTTGAGTCAGGTTTTATGTACGATTGTATAGTAAACTTGAATTACCAAACATGCGGGTGCACCGGCAATAAGTATGGGTGGACACATATCTCATACCCTTTTTGTGCAACAGTTGTCTATCCAATGTGTATACTAACACATTTTGTGGAGTCCAAGAATGCTACAAAAAGCATATACACCACTTGCATTATGGTTTATTGTTTTTTGACTATTGCAATTTGTGAGTTTCAAGAATTACTCGGTGATCTTACACATGCTTCCCAATCACCATTGAATGCCAGGCTGGGGGATTGGACTCGCTCACTCTGAATAGTTTGTACGATGATGCTGCATATAGAGCATCTCAGCAGGCCATGTATGGAACACCAGCCCCAAATCCATTTGAAGTCTCAGATCCATTTGCTTTCTCAAACAATGTTGCGCTTCCTCCATCGGTGCAAATGTCAGCAATGGCTCAGCAGCAGCAGACCAATCCCTTTGGTCCGTACCAACCTGCCTATCCTCCACAGCCACATCAGCAACATTTGATGATGGGCCCACAAAATCCATATCAGCAACATTTGATGATGGGCCCGCAAAATCCATTTGGCGATGCAGGGTTCGGAGCATTTCATGCTAACCCTGTTGGTCATACACAAACAAACAATCCATTTGGAAGCACAGGTCTACTCTAAACATCTTGGAAGTTGGGAACATCTAAAATAGTGTAATTGTAACTTTACCCGGCGCAGTTAAACTTTTGTGTATTTGGAGGTGAGCAAAAAAGCAGTGTGTGGCTGTGTATTCCATTTTTTTTTAAAAATTTTAATAATTGATGATTTTAGAGCTTGAATTATATGCTTTTGTAGAAGATAGTATAGTAATTGGGTAATGAAGATGTAACATTTTTCAGTCAAAATGAATAATGATTCCATGTATAGTCATTTATACAGTCTCCCTTGTTTATTGGGGCTTGGTGTATTATTGTCGGTTACATTACATGCTTGGCTAAACACGAGCTTCATGTGTGTGACATCTGGCTTGGGTGAAAGGGCAATCATTACCAACACGGAGTTGGTTCAGTGGTAAGGATTTCGGATTCTTTACTTAAAGTTTAGGTTCGAAAATCTATAATATCTTGTTAAGGTTAAACATATTTTTTAGCACCTAAAACACGTGAGAGCCTTGGCTTTGGTCCAAACGTAAGTGCGGTGGGATTTTTTATAGGTATATTGTGGGTGGTAAGGAACAATTCTTTGGTAAGGTATGTGGAATAGTCTGTCCATATTTCTGTTTTATAAATCTAAAAATGGGCAATCACAACTAAGGGTGAGCTTTGCTTACAACTATCAGCTCCCTTTCTTCATACATTTTAATTATGTTCTCTGCACTTTCTCTGCAACCACTAAGCATTATTTCTTTTATCAAACAATCGAACATGAAAACTAAAAATACTATAAAAAAAAAAGAAGATATTTACATAAATATACAACACACTTTGATGATGATCCAGCTGTAGAGGTATTTTTATTATTGACTCTCTTGCTCTTGCACTTGCTCCAGAATTTTGTTATTTAGATTTTGATGGAGTTGAAATTATTTTTTGAGTAAACTACGAATAAGTCTTAATAGTTGGATTTAATTGCCATCAAGTCATATTGAAAATAAGTCTTAATAAAAGCATTGTTAAAAATAATTTGTTGTGACCCTTTTTGCATGTCGCTGAAAATTGACAATGGGTATTTTTTTTTGTCACGGTTTTTATAAATTGTCGCTAAAATTTACAATTAGTGACTTTTTTTGTGACGAATTTTTCAAATTGTCACTGAAAGTTGAAACTTAGTGATTTTTTTGTGACGATTTTTTTAAACTATTGCTAAAACTTATAATTAGTAACATTTTTTGTGACGATTTTTAAATTGTTGCTGAAAATTAACAATTAGTGACTTTTTTTTTAATAATGTTTGATGAAAAATACCATTAATTCTCACAAGATTTATTGGATAATAAGTTTACTTAGAACATACACGTAAGTTCTCCTTATTTTAAAATGTTCTAAAAAAGTCAACAAAAAAAAAAGAAAATAAAATTTATTATTGAATGTATTTTGCCACTTTATTTTATTTATGTAATTATATATCTATATATACATGTGAGATTCATCATATTTACAAATTATTAATTGAATTTCCATGATACATAAAAAAAATCATATCATATACAAAAATTAAGAGTTGTTTTAAAAAGGGTAAATTACAAATACAATTCTTGAGATTTGCTTAATTACAAATACCTCCTGTCAAAATTTTTTATTTAACAGAATTAATTGAAAAAGTGAAATTTCTAACTGTTCACCTATAAAATAATAAAATTATCTAAATTATTAATTGAAATAAAATTTTTATATTATTAAAAACTGTTAATTAACTTAATGATTTATTAATAAAAGGACATATTTGTTATGAAATTAGAAACCTTAGGGGGCATAATGTAATTTCTAAAGTCACAAAAAATAATTTATAATTTATGTAAATCTCAGGTTTGTGTTTGTAATTTACTCTTTTAAATAACATTTTCATCATATATAACAGCCATATAGAAAAGAAGGAAAAAAAATATATGGTTCAAATGATGAATGTCCAGGGCCAGGCCACCTAATGATTAACCCACACAGTTCATTATGTAAATATGTATATATATATATATATATGTTTATCAGCAAAAAAAAAGATGATTTTATTATAAAATTTTAGAAATTACAAGACAAGTATATAAATATATTCTGTTTAATATGGCAAAGGCAAATATATTCTATTTTATCTCTACTTTGTAAAGACTAGTCAATGAATTTATATACGTAACTTTTTTAGTAGGTGTGAATTCGGATGAAAATCTTATTATTGATGAACTAAACAAAAAGAGCTTTTGAATCAATATGCATCAAAGGACAATAATGAGGACATAAAATGAGAAGAACTCATAAAGAATTTGATAGAAACATTTGAGTCTTTTGCTGCTCCTTTGAAATTGGTTATTTTAGTGATTTTTTAATATTTTTTTAAGAAAATAAGTGCAAAAAAATAAAAAAAGTGATGTGATATTTTATAATGACCTTTTAACTTTTTAGCTAAAATAACTTATGGACAAATGAGGCTTTATATTGGGCTAAATTTATTTTATTTGGAGTCTAGTAACAACTTATTATGTAATTCTATATTCACTCAACAATATGATCATCTTATTTGAAAATAGGAGATAACATAGTCATGCATTCTTCTATTACTGAACGAGAGAAATTTTTATAGTGAAAGTTACAAATATTTATGACGTGTTATTTAGGCCACTCTATGTTAAAAGTTATAAATGGCGGCCATTGTGATTATGTTATGGAAAGTGTGTTGAAAATATGACGAATGATTTGTGTTGAGAAATATTTTGAACCATTCTGGTAAAAAAACTAATAACGTGTTGTGATATTTATTAGGGAACGTTGTGCTTGTATATTATGCTTATATATTGTGTAAGGTGCCTTTTTAGGGATATGCATCATAATAGGTCCTTTAAAAGTGTCTAAGGAGAGTTAATTTGAGCCCACTAAATTAATTAGGCGTAATAGTTCAAGGTTGGTAGGCCCGAATTTATCGCAAGTCCAAGATTGGTGGGTTCGGATTTATCACCATCAAACAAGCCGAATCGCTCTAAGTCTCGAAAGGGTTCGGATCCATGAACTTAGAGACTTACTCGGGTCTGGACTCGAAAGGGTATTGAGCAAATCTAGAGATCCGATGCACTCGGGCTTCAAACAGATTCGATTGCAATCTAGAAGCCGCTCCATTGATGAGTCCCAGAATATTTGCGGACTTAGAGTATTCCGGGGTCAACCCTCCGGGATCATGAGTGAGTTTAGAGTCCGAACAAAGGGCCCGAATCCCAAGGATGAGGGGTGGAGATGAATTCACTCATCAGTTAATTTAGTTTATACCCGGGTCGAGGTTGCACGACCCCGGGGGGTCCATGAGACTCGGCATTATTTAGTGGCAGGGGATCTCCTAGGACTACCTTGGCCCCTTGGAATGATTGGGGATCATTGGTCAAGTGTGACTAAGAAGAAGGGTCATCGAGAGGTTGATCTCCTCTTCGAGGGTTTTCCTCATCCTCGGAGAGGTTACCTCCTCGGACAAGGTGGTTAGAGAGAATATTCCCCATATGTTTTGTACATGGACTCTATCTTAGATCATGAGGTGTCTATAAATAGCACCCATCCATAGCTTTACAAGGGATGAATTTTGGAGAGATAAATCTTGGAAAAGAACTAATTTTCCTTCTCTATTATCAACCTTGAGAGTGAAAGTGAGAGATTCATGGAAGAGCCTTGCCATTATTCTCTCTTTAACTACTTTGCTTTCTTCTTCACCCAATCTCTCATCTCCATCATCTCTTTGCTTTTGTGTTCTTAGATGTGACTATTGAAGAATTTAAGCCTCTCATCATTTCTAAAGGAATTCGAGTCTTCTTTAAAGATCTTCGAAAATCTTTGAATTTTCCAACAACGTTCTTGAACCCTCTCATACAAAGTATACACCAAGTCTTAAGTAGAGGTATTTCGTTTTGAGGGTTTGTTTATTGTCTTATGTTTTTATTATTTATTTGAACAACTTTTACACTTATTTTCAAAGTTATGCTAAAACGCTACATTTTCTGAAATGTGTTTACCATGCTTTTTTAGTTTCTTATTTATTTTGAAAGCATAGTGAAAGTGTGGTTGTCAAGTTTTTTAAGAAAAAAGAAAAGAAAAAAAGGACTATGCTTTTACTAGATTTACAATGTTAAAAAATCACTTCTCCTTCAAACTTAACAGATTTTTACCTCAAAACAAAATAAACAAAATAAAAAAGTGAGATTGCTAATTAAGCTTTTTAGGAGTGTTCAGTTAGTAACTGATAGGCATAGCCCAAATAAGTGGCCCAATGGGCTGTCGAAACAATTCCTAACCCAACTTATGCCCAGGGGCCAGACAAGAAGAAGAGACAAGCAACCTCCTTCTGTGAAGTCCACGGCATGACAACACTACCATAGACTTACGGCTGATAGGACAGGTCGACTGACAGGGCACGGTAAGCGAAGAGGCCAGAAAGGTATGGAAGAAATCAATATATACAAGTAATCACTCTCTCTCTAACGACCTTCGACTTCCACTCTAAGCTAAAAGCTTCATCTCTAACTTAAACATCGGAGGGTCCTCAAGAAGGAACCCCACCTCCGGGGTCCTTCTCGACGGACTTGGTGTAGGTACAACTGGGAAGACGAGGTTTAATCATCCTGTGGAGCATCCGGACCCTGTCCGACCCATTCCTCATCCGACAAAACTACATTATCAATTGGCGCCGTTTGTGGAAAACTCTTTGTCACCGGAAATAGTTTCCTTTTCACCCACCTTCAGTGTCGGAATGAATGGTTACCACATGATTCATGGCTTCCCAGCGGCGGCGGCGACGTTTTCCCCGCCTACACCTCTCTCGCCGGTACCATGATTCTAGACCGATCCATGGTCGACGATCTCATTCCTAGCCCGGTCCAATCGTACCTCAACTTGGCTCTCTGATGCCTCTTCACGCCGCTCTCGGCTCACCTCACCATTGTCGTTGGTGAGCACTGCGGAGGTCTACCTACGCACCAAAATCAACCCCCGCACCAAGCAATTCAAAGTCGTCAAGACTTCAAAAAAAAACAACAAACAAACAAGCAAAAAGTTCAAGAACAAAGCTTTGGACCAGTATTTCCTATTTGATCCATATCAAAGGCCCAGATTGCCCAACGTGAAGACATGGGCTTCACTCCCCAAGCCACTAACTCTCTCTATTTTCCCTACGTCTGTGTCATGTCACATCATCACGTGCATCCCTGCACCTTGAGCCCCGTGCACCGCCAACTAACCCAGCTCGGCAACATAGGTCGGTCAGCAAACTAGTTCGGTCGGCAAC